GGGTTTTGGGTTTAGGGTTTATGGATTTAGGGTTTAGGGTTTAGGGTTGATGGATTTTGGGTTTAGGGTTATAGGGTTTAGGGTTTAGGGTTGATGGATTTAGGGTTTAGGGTTTAGGGTTGATGGATCTAGGGTTTAGGGTTATAGGGTTTAGGGTTTAGGGTTGATGGATTTAGGGTTTAGGGTTTATGGATTAGATCAGGATCTTTAGGTTTTTAGGTTGTAGAGCTTCGGGTTTAGGGTCGAGGATTTGGGTTTAGGCTTTTGGTTGACCTTGGCTTTAAGGTCTTCGGGTTGGGGTCCTTTGGTTTCCAGGATCAGCGATTGAGTCTGTTCCTATCTAACTCTCTCTTGATGCAAATCTTCCGTGCATTTCGCCGCTGTCGAAGATTTTTCGCACTGCGCAACAAGTCTTTGTAGCCAGGTGCGCAACACCTTGAGTCTTGAGGACATCGATGGCACTCTTCGGTGTCACGATGCACCAAGACCAGTTGCAATTTGCCAGCCCTCCTTCCCTTCTGAGTGTGAGAACGACCACGCCTGGGAGAGCTTCATTGGGAACCACTAAGGATTCATATAGGTAATTATAAGAATTACCAATATGATTCCTTAGGGTTCCCTATTATACTTATACTGTGTTTTTCCAATGGTCTTTCGTGGGGCAAGCGATTCCTATCAATCAGGGGCACGGCTGCCACCCCCAGGATTGGACAGGCTCCGTCCTAAACCCTCCTAAATTTTATGTGCGCTAAGGTGCTGATTCCGAAACGCCCAGACCCTAAATCCTAAATGCACCCTAAAGCAATGTCATGCCCATGCCTGCATGTCAGTCCTCCAAGGTCGTGAGCCTCATGCAACAAGCCCTCGATCGCAGGGCAGGCGCGGTCACATTTCCAGCGTGGATTGAAGATAGTGTTTGCACAGGGAGGGATAGAGGGAAGTCCATTTTGGCGAGGAAGGAAAGGCAGGGGAAGGGCTAAGATCATACTAATATAAACAAATGCATCATCACAGTTGCTTCGACACCCGAAATCGTGACCCACAAACTTCTACTAAACCCTGGCCACGAAACCCTAGACCGTTAAACCCTGAATCCCAAACCCTAAAGCCCACAAACCGCGAAACCGTAACCTCTGAACCCTAAACCTCAAACCCTCAACCCCAAATGCCACACGCGAAGCCCCAAGCCGTAAACCCACGAGCACAACTGGTTAAGCACGGCCGAAGGAGAGGACACCTGGTACAGCCGCGCCCAAGAAATCCAACGCAAGCTCAAGGCTCCGGCGGGTGCGTCGCACTAGGGTAAAAGGATGTTACATTTGTTATCATGTATCGCATATCATAGATTTTGCAGCTATGTAGTATATACTGCAGAATGACGGTAGGTTTGGCGACCCTAAACCCTAAACCCTAAACCCCTAAACC